ACTAGCGGACTGATCAAGATTGTTCAACTATTGTAAAATAATTTTTTTATGTGTTTCACACCGTGTGTAATATCAATCGTGTAACATCAACGTTTCCTCCTGTTACCGATACCCCTCATATATTGTCGTATTTCAATCTTCTATAGAGTAATGTAGCCGAAAAACGTAAGTGTAAAGTACGATAGTGCGAAATATACTTTTTTTTTTTTTTGTTGATGTTTTGATCTCACGCGTGCAAAAATGATGTAATCTAATCATCATGATTATTGTAACACAATCATATATATAATGAATCAGGTATTTTGGCTTCACATTGTATTGCTTAACCAAGTTAAAAGTTTTCGATGAAATAAATAAACGCACCTGTAATCGGTTGGTCTGATACAAATACATGTAATTACGAAAATAATTCAATTATATAAATGGTTAACTAGTCTGGATATCTCTCGGAATCAAATTTCGGTAATTAATATGTAGTACTGATACTTTGTAAATACAAATGATTATCACTTATCACATGGGGTCTTTGCCTTGAAAATCAAGTTGAGACATAGTAAATTATATGCCTCATGACTGATTTTCAAGGCAAAAACCCCACATTTTGTAATGGGTTGCGATTTTATATCACAATTCTTTATTTATTATTAATAATAAAAAAATGATACGTATGAAAATAAATAACTGCCGATCTCTAAAAAATTACATCCTGACGTATCATCACAATATTTAAGTAGTTCAAAGGTATTCTCTTTCATAGTTATCTGCTGCTGAGAAACGTTGTTGGTTCAATTTCGGACGAACTTATAAATATCACACGCTCGAACAATGATCAAGTAAAAAAAGAAAAAATTTGACTGTTATCAGAAATAGAGAAATTAAAGACAATGATTAACTTAGAAAAGAAAATTTATTTTATTACATTGTATTGCTTCTAATCTAGTAAAATAATTATGTACACGCATTGTAAACCTTGAATTTTCAATATCAACAAATATAGAAAGAAGTACTTGACTATAGACAAATTATGTATTTAAAACGTAATAAATTAACGTCGATAAAAAAATAATTAGTCAAGATAAATTCTTACAACTCTTATGAATTTTTTTTTTTTTATATGTAACGAAAATATCTGTATACAATTTTTGCTGAAACCGGTTTCAGCTCAAATTTTAAAAGTATAAAAACGTTTTTTTACCATCTCTAATTTTGTAAGCGCACTGACAAGTGTATTTATAGAGTTCACTGTACATATTTCAACTATTTTGACTATACACATGGTCGAAATTATTTCGGCTTGTATCGAAACTATTACGACTTATGTCGTAACTAGTGTCGAATAAGCCGAAATAGTTTCGGCTACATGTATAATTTTGACCCGAGTTGTAAATTGAATAATTTTGACCCGAGTTATAAATGGGTGAACCAGTTTGATACGGATGACCCGGTTGACATTGTTGACCCGGTTGACACTGGTGACCCGGTTGATACGGGTGACCTGGTTGATACGGGTGAGTTGGTTGAAATGGGTGACTTGGTTGATACGGGTGATTCGGTTGATATGGATGACCTGATTGATACGGTTGACTTGACTGATACGATTGACCTGACTGGTACGGTTGACCTGATTGATATGGGAGACCTGATTGGTACGGTTGACCTGATTGATATGGGTGATTTGGTTGATACTGGTGATATGGATGATTTGGTTGATAAGGGTGACTCGGTTTGCTATAACTAGGTTCTAAACTGTAACCAGAACCATAACCATAATCACAATAGGAAGATTCAGGTGCAGAAATACTGCCTGAATCTGATAATGATCCACTAAAATAATCACAATCCGAAGAGGATCCGGTCAACCTCCGTCGACGAGTTGTAGAAGATTGAAGACCAATTTCTTTCATTATACGATTTTCTCTTTCTTTCTCTTCGGCAAGCATAATTTCGACTTCTGTTACATTAACTTTGCTTTCTAGGGCAGCTTTTCCTTGTGAAATCATATCGGCGAGTTTTTCATTAACTTTTAATAACATCGCGTCTTGATCATCATATCTAGATTGGGTTGTAATGTCGGTTGAAGAAGATTTACGACGTAACAATCGTCGAGGACGGCGTACACGAATCTGTTTACGTTTAGTAGATGTAGGAGTGGTAGATGAAGAATCAACCGGAGAAGATTGGGGTGTTGAGTCATCCTGAGGTGTAGCAAATTGTATCTGTCTTGGAGAAGAAGTTGGTGTGGAAGCATCCGAAACATTATGTACAACAGGCTCGGATAAACCTGAGATCATTGAACTACCAGATGTCGATTCCGTAGGCTAGAAAATAATAATAATAGTAATAAATTTCATAGTTAATTTTATTGTATAACGCATATATTCTGGAACCAAAAAAAAAACTAACCATCATCCATGAAATGTCGTATGGTGGAGGAGGTTCTTCATCATCATTCGCATTCCATGAACATTGAGATTTTTTATCAAGATTTTTACGCATCTCATTTGACACAACACTATTACTACTTTGTGCGACTTCATTATCACTTAATTCATCATCGTTAATATCGGGATCATCATCCGAATCAGCATTAATTTGCATTACATCATCGTCAAGATAATGACTATGTACGTTACTAGAACTTCCGTTTACTGGTACATCTTCAAGTTTTCCACCACCCGTTGAAATTACAGTCTGATAAGCTACATTTAAATAAGTTGAAGTATAGGCAGCTACTTCAGTTAACTTATATAAGAAACTTGCCGCCACGCCAGGGCGTTGTATTGTCGTGCTCGATGTGTTTTGTGAGTTTGAGTTTAATGTGTTTTGAAAGTTTGAGTTTGATATGTTTTGTGAGTTCGAATTTGATGGAGCATTGTTAGTAGTAGTTTCAGCGAAAGTCTTATCTGTTTGCTGTTGCTGTCGCTGCATTAATAAATCAAGCCGATTAAAATTATTATTGGAAACTGAAGGGGGAGAGTGAGGAAAATCTTCTATCAATGAAGGTAATTGCATTTGTATCCTTTCAGTGGCTTTAAACAAATAATAATAATAATAATAATAATAAAATTGGAGAAGGTTTCCGTAGTCAACAAATAAGTTTTTAGACAGGTGGTTATGAAGTTTAGAATTCTGAAAGAATTTTCTTGGTGCTGTGCTTACAAAAAATATGTTTGCGGGGCCTTAATTAATTTTTCGATAAAAAACAATAAAAAGTTAGGTACCGAACGTATAGGTTATAAACGGTACACTCTTTGTGTTGGTGTTAGTTAGAAAGAACAAAAACGATAACTTGTCACTTTTATAGGAGATAAGTAGCACTGATTACTATTAAGAAAAAAATGATATTAAGACATAAGAGAAAAGAGGATCTTAAAAAAGGTGGGGTTGGGAAGGTTAAATAATGAAAATCATCAAATTGACTTTTTTTGGGGACACAGACGGAGAAATCGAGGGTGCTAACGAACCGTTGATTTTCTATGTTTATGTAGCATCTACACATAAATAGATTACACTGTATATTAAATTAATCACAGATATATTAAGATATATTGTGTTAGATATCGAATTATAATCTATTTTCTGCTTGATGCTGTATCCGTGTGGTGTAATTTTACATCCATTTATATTCAGTGTACGTATTACGAGTGTCGAAATTTGGGCTGACGGTAATCAGGATAACACAAGAATGCCGATATAGAAATGAATGCGTAATGAGTTCGGTGAATCTCGTGGTAAAAAAAACTTTTTTGGCTTAGTCTATTTCTTTTTTGAAGATGGCTAAAAGTTTTTTTTTCTAGGGTCCCGAGTTTCCATTTACAATATATCTAAATTTTCGTTATCTTTTCAAGAACGGTGACCATATGTCAATCTTTAACGGACAATGATTACACCGTTTCATATTATTCAACTAACTACCGACCAACGTATTTGAACAAATTCAATGGCGATCAATAACCACAATAGCCACTAATAATGATTAATACTCGGAATGTACTGTACATACATTCGGTGTATCCTTATTCCAAGCCTTCGCATACGTACATACCTACGTACATACAGTACATTGCGTAATACGGTGTTCTCTTAGATGTCAGATCACGGAACGATTTTATGTCCGAGATACAATCGCCAGATGATAAATTGTATGGTCTTATCTTGAATTTATTTCATATAGTCTGATAATAATATTATTAAATTTTTATTATTACTCATCATTTCTTTCTATATTAGGTTTCCTAATGCTGTCAAGGGTCACCTAAGACTATTAATGGCTTATGAATTCATGCATTTTACTGTCCCTTGCGGAAGAATGAATAGCATCAATCGTTACCGAAATCCAACAACTCTTTTTGGCAGTTGGACAATTAACCGATTTTCGATTAAATTAATTGCCAAAAAGTAATTCCTAACTTTTTTAACCGATTTATATAGCAAGCCACCGTCTGAAGAAAAGTCAATATTTGGTCCATGCGAAAGAGTTGGTTTTTCGTCTATCTGCGTTTTTTAACCGCCAAACATTTACTGTCCATTAATTTTAATCAAATCACATGATGTTTGAACAATGTAAATTATATACTGATTTGTATGCTTGATTTCATTCAATGTATGTACTTGTTTTCAGTGTAATAAATGTAATATAACATTTTGCTGCGATGTCTTTAAGCACGGGATCTAATAATGCTCAATAACTAATTTTGATTATTGACATTTAAGGCTTTGCTCCGCATTACATTTTAGAATAATTAATAAATAAACGCGTTCGCTTAAATTTCGCAAATAGCAAATATTATTAGTATATTAATAGAATTCATTAATATTGTCATTTTAATATTTAAGAACAAGTGTATGGACCACATGAATATCATTGTACGTATGTATCTTAAAATTTACATGTTACTATATATATACTTATAAATACTGTATATAATAATTTTTTAATAAAAAAATTGTAATAAAAATTTGAAGATATTTGTAAATATACATATTTTGACTTATTATTGACAAAGACATTTATTGTATATTTGTTAATAATTATATATATGAAAAAAAATAAATAATATTAAATTTATTACATTTGTAAATGATGCAATAAAGTATAGAACAGTTCAACTGGGACAAAAAAAGATACAACAAATAACGATAATTGCGTGCAAACATATTTTTTGAATATTAATTTAACCAAATACGCTTAACCAATGCCAGCTTGCAAAAAATTATGAATTGCACAATAACATCAATATTAAATTTTTGCCAATCGTTTGTCTTTGTAATACCGATGCCCTATATAAAATTAATTATAATTAATCATTATATATAATTATTACTCATACATATTATTTAAAATAAATAATATAAAGAAAAGTCTTTGCATCACTCCGTGTCGTATCTGATTTCTGCCATTTTATTTATTTGTTTAATCAAATTATAAATCGTATATTATTGATGTTTGATACTACTAAAATGGACCATAGGTGTTAACATTATAGTTGTTATATTTCAAAAATTGTCTAATTAACTAAAGTCAGGTGTACTAAGTGAAAGTGTTCAGAACTTTGATTATTGTTTTAGTATAACAATAAAGTAACTTATTAGAGATTTTAGTTCTTAAGCTAGTAAAGGCATTTGTTATTTTTTTTATATATTTTAATTTTTTTATTTTTTTATACATATTTGTTTTGTTTTTTTGCTTTTGCTAAGGCTGATGTTTATAGTATCTATTGTTTTTATTATTTTTATTATAATTTTAATTATACATTATATATAACTTGTACAAGAATAAGTATACAACTAGTCACATATATAATTTTTAATTACTTATTTAAGTAGTCTGTATGCAAGTTCTATACTAGCTGTTATATCTGTAATCTACTAAAAATTACTTATTTAAATTTTTTACTCTTTATACTGCATTAGACAAACAACATCTGGTTTCTATACATCTAAGTACTATCTAATTTAATATTAATTTTTTTATACATTTGTTAAACTGTTATCTATTTAAAAACATATTATCTAATTGTAAAATTATAGGTACTTTTCTGTTAACTAATCTATTTATTTTATAAACTATTAATAGAATTATACTTTTGCAAAGTTTATTTAAACCTTAGTACTAACTTTATAATATATTCTTAATACTTTAGTATATTCTTGCTTTGATTATATATTCTTAATCTAGATAGCTCAATAGAACTATAACCTGTTCTTAGTATATTAAGTTTAATCTAATATTTTTTCTTCTAATTTAAATTCTAATAACTTAATTGGTAATACTTCTTATTTGAAAATTTTTATTTATCTGATTTTTTTACAATAGTATTTGTTTTTTAGATCTAATCTTTATAGTAATATTATTAAATATCTGTATTATCTCTTTATTTAAGTTTTTTTAAATAAATTTTTGTTTTTTTAGTTCTATAAATTTATATAGTAACAAAAACTTATTTTGAATTTGTATCACTTGATATTTGTTTATATCTTTTTATATAACTAAAATTACACAAATATTTTATGTCTTGTTAGTTATACTAATATAATTAAATATAAATAATTGCTTAAAGTTTCATTATTAATAAGATTTAAACTTTTAACTTATTATTTAAAAGATAATAACTTATTCAATTTACTCAATTATTATACTTTCTTTTATATATATTGTTATAAAATAGATTATTAATATAATATAATATAATAATATAATATTCTTCTTTAGGATTAATAGAATAACAATTATGCTTTGAGGTTACAAATCGCAAAGTTGCCAGTTCAAATTCTAGTAACAGCAATTATAAAGATACATTTCTAAAAATAGAAAACTGCAATATTACAATACCAGGAACCCAGAATATCATCTGACAGATTTATTTTTAGAAAAGACAAATGACTTACAATTAAGAAACCACTTGATGTTGAATATGAGTTAGAACCTGATTTGGAATAACTAAAGTCATAAGATGTAATGTGAGACCAAAAAGTCTAACAATAAAAGATATTACATGAACTTATAGTGATAGTCAGTTCTAAACAGAGTCTGGTGAAACTTTCTGATCTTAGCAGAAATTAGTATAACAGATCACTTTTAGAAAGATAATAATCAGACTAGAAGAGATTGAGATTCAGTAATAGAAAAATATTGAGAACATTGTTCAAAAATATAGATAGACATATAAAAGATCTTAGCAATATTATCAAAAAATAAAATAAATAAAAAAATATATATAGGAAGCTAGTTTTTATACCTTTCAGATTTATTATTTGTATCTCTTATATCATATATTTCTGATGTTTCACATGACATATAAGATAGTAATCAATATTCAAAATGTGGTTAGGCAATATTATTATACTATCATGTATAGCATGTAATCAAACATAAATGCTAAATAATCATCTACTCTTTATATAAACATCTATTCTTTAAATGATCATTTACTCTCTAAGTGACCATATGCTCTTAATTAAATGAACATCTATTCTTAATTAAACAGTCATCTACTTCTAATTAATATGTACAAAATATCAACCTTATTATAATAAAGCTACTGCTAATTATTGTTAATAGCATTATATAGTACTGTATAAATGTAATGTTTTACTTTAAAATTTTAGATTATAAAAATACATTTATAAAAAAAGAAAAAACCAAATTAACAAGTTCTAAGCTATGAACTTTGAAGTTAAACTATAAGGCAAGTAAACTTTATTTATAACATTTCACTTACAAAAATATAAACTAAAAAAACTAAATACTTTTTATATTGAGTTATTTTTTATTAATACAAGTATGAGTATTGTGCTTAGGTTGTTAGCAAATAGTACAATGCCTTGCTTTGGGATCTACTAATTCAAAGCTAAAAGAATCTCTTTTTGTTAAGTTGACTTTTTAATTATTAGGAGCTCTGGAGAGATGTTCTTTAGTATAGATTATATTAGGATTTTGTAAGGTTATTGATGGTTTATCAATTATGCTTTTTAATGTATCTTGTGCAGCTAATTGCTGGAATTCTGGCTATTCTTGGTATCTTTACTATAGATCTTGCAAAAGAGGTTGCAGTAAATTTTTATAATCAGAGTTATTTGCTTTAATTTGTGGTATTAGTAAGTTTTTAGAATTCATTAATGCTTATAAATATTATTAATTAATAGATTTTGATCATTTTCCAAATATTGAATAAAATATGCACAAAGTAAACTCATTGTTTTTAAGAAAGTCTTTGTGCATAGTAGTAAGGGCTCTTGCATAGTTGTATGTTTTACTTTTTGATACTGATCATTTATCTTTTTGAGTGCAAAAATTGATACTTTACCTTTAATTTTTTTTATACAAAGAATTGTTAATAGCAAAAGCTAGAATGTGAATATGTTCTAATGTAATTATAGTATTAAGTTCTTTTTTCTGGTTGGTTAGTGCTAAAGATATTGTTATATAAACATGATGGAGGTCTCTTGTAGATGTTTATAAGTAGGCTTTTAATATTGCATATAAACCCTCAATACAAGATATTACAGTAGTTTTTAAATAAAGTAACTTATTTGTCTAGGCCTTTACAAACTTTTTTTTCTATAGTATCCAGGTTTTCTGAAAATAGTGTTACAAATTAAGAGTTGAAACAATCAATTAGTTGACAACTAAACAATTAACCTTTTTAGATACTAACTATATGACTAATCAATTAGTTGTGACTAATCAATTAATGAATTGATTTAAAAATAATTGATTAATTAGTTAAGCATTAAGTTGCAACTAATCAATTAATCGATGAATTGATTAGTTGCAACTAATTAATTAATTGATAAATTAATTAGTTATAATTTAATGATTAATTAATTAGTTGCAAATGAAAAAAATAATTGATTGTAAAAATTTAATGATTAGTAGCACTACCTGAAGATAGAATACAATGCTAGGTTTATTACTATAAGCAGAACAAAAACTTTTTCATCTTTCATCAAATTCATTTTCTGATTCTGCTTGAACTAGACCATTCTACTTTATAAAAAAACTTTCCTACTCACTGTTTTTGTTTTTTGTTTCTTTTTGAAACTGTAGTTTGCAATTTTTTAAAATATTCTTACTAATGTGCCAAACACAAAGTATATTTGTTGAATTGGGTAAGATCATTTTAAGAGCATTTCATAAGTGCTAATTCTCTATCAGTTACAATAATGCTAGGTTTCTGTATCCTATCAAATATTCTTATAAGATGTGTTAAAGCCTATTTATAGTTCTTCTCTTTTTTTTCTTTTATAAAAACAAAACAAGAAAAAAAAGTGGTATTGAAACTGGTTATATTTACAATATTTAATAATGACATTTTAAATTTATTAGTTTTGTAGATACAATCTATAAGAATTACTATAGAATATTAATAGCTAAGAGATATTAAGTCATTGTGTGCAAAAAACAAATGAGTAACAGAATCAGAATTATCATATTTGTATTTGTAAAAAAGTCATCTTCTCAAAGTTCATCAACTAACATTTAAATGAAGGTTCAGTTAGCCAGGTTTTGTTGTTAAAGCTGTGAATATGCATTATAGATATTACTACTGGTAGCTAGTATTGATGGATTACTTTGTTAAAGCATTAATATAATTTTATAAGGACATAAACTAGAGATAGTTATTGTTGCACCAATTTTCATCTGTTCCTTTGTTAATTAATGAATAATAGGATGTCCTAACATATCTTCTGAGAGACTATGATTATGCTCAGCATTATGAACTTCCAAATGCTACAGGTTATTGCATTGAGCTATATACAATTCAAAAGAACAATCTTTAACCTAATGCTTTTTTTTTATTATTTGTTTCTTTACTAAAACCCAAGAGGTTATTATAAACACCACCTTGGTTACAATATATTGTCATATTTTTTAATTCACTATACACATCTTTTTGAGTTTTTTTTTTAACTAGAGCATAATCCTGAGAATTTGTGAATGTTTGAGCATTTTGAAAAAGTTTATTGGCAGTATTGTATGTTTTAGAAGAAGGTAAAAGCATATTTAGTTTGACAAATTATTTAAAAGGTTTGCTGATACAATTGCTTTATTTTAAAATTTAATTTATATAGGCTTAATTAATTTAGAGATAATTATAACAGAGATAGAATGAAAGTTTACAAGATTACAAAAAATGAAGATTTTAAAAAACAAAAATCATAAGAATAATCAATTATTTATAGTTTATTGTAGATTTAGAGAACTTTTTAAAAATAAAGATTAAGATCACTTTATTAAAGTATTTTTAATCTATAATTACTTTTATTTTCAAACTTTTTTTATATTTTATAAAAAATTTTTAACACTTATCAATTTAATATAGCTTTGTCTTAAGGTTTTAGGCTATATAAAAAATTTTTTTATTTTACTTTCTTTTTTTAATTTAAAGCATTTTTTCTTTACAATTGCATCTTTTTAGTTTCACAATCGCATCTTTTTAATTTTATGATTGTATCTTTTTTACATGAACTTTTACAATCTACTTCAAAGCTATGCACTATACTTCTTTAGGATTTATTAAATTTTTTTTCAAAATTTCTTTCTAAAAGAGTATAAGATGTGGCTTTGGATATGTCATAGTAATATTTGTGAGAGTGATCAATAAAATTAGTAATAGTTAACTTAAAAATTTAATGATTACTTTTATGTATATTTTTATGATTTATTATATAACTACATTTTATATCCTTTTAGAATTATTGCTATTAGCATTTTTTTTTTTTAGATTTCTTGCAAATTTTATGAATATGATTATAACATTGCATCCTATACTCTTTTAAGATTACTACTAATCAAAACTATTTAACCTATTGTCTAGAGCTACACCTCTTTTTAGAATTATTATTTCTATATATTTATAATTTTATTAATATATCAAAGCCATGTCTTATACTATATTAGGATTTTATTTTCTTATTTTGTTTAGCATCTTCAAAGTTGTAAAAAAAGTTATGATTTTATGATAGATCACATATAGCAAAATGTAATATCATCAAATTTCAACAATCAATTAAATAAATTTACTAATTCCACTATTACTTCTAATTAGTTCTACTAATTATTCATATATTATAATATTTGTATTATTAAAGCTTTCTAATAGTGAAGTGATGGAAAAATTAGGGCATCCTGATTAAACTATGACAAAATAAAGTACTTTATTGCATATTTCTTATATGGATACATGGCTATTTTTATTGTATTATTGGTTCACTTCTAATTCATAATACACAAATTTGATTTACCTATAATAAGTAAATGAAACTTGTATATTACAAATTATAAATGACCCAACAAGGTGCAAAAATAACTAGACAGTAGATAATTTATTATCAATATAGCCAATAACCAGTATGTATTGTTTTGGATTAGTATGTAATTTTGATCAATAAAATGATAAAACTAGTCTTCAAAATTTTTGTTATTTTATTGAAAAAATAATAATCAAAAAAGAAAAAAAAAATAAAAAAAATAAATAGATACTTATGCATAGCATAAATTCTAATTGTAAACTAGTTAATAAAGAGCTATCATATATATTATTTGCTGTTTGGACAAAAAAAATGTATAAAAAACTGTCTGAATTTTTGAATCAACTATTTTTTTGTAAGTTTGTAGATGTTTAATAATATCATCACCTTTTATAATTATGTAAAACATCAGAAATGTATAGGATAAAGATACAAATAATAAATCTGAGAGGTATAAAAACTAGCTCTTTATATATATAATATAATATAATAATATAGAAGGAGGAGTGTGGCAACCTAGTAAAGTAGTCAGGTTGTCAACCCCCTAAGTGGTAGGTTGGGTGTTCAAATCCCATCGATGGCAAAAATTTGGATAATTATCTATATAATATTCGTATTATAGCAACTGTTACTAATGATTAGGTTAGGATACTTGTAATAGCGGTCGCACCAGCATGACTGGTAGGTCATGGGGCATTCGTGTAATAGGTCACATAACATTGTCCTTTGGGACAAGATTGTGGTTATACAAAGAAATGCAAACCGGCAATAGGCAGTGTTAACACTAGATAAGTTCTTGTGGCCATGTAAATCCATTGAACTTGGGTAACAAGAAGTCCATTTGGGAAGACCTGTGTAGAGAGGTAGCCAGATCTTCGATGGCCCTACTGTAAAGGCTAGCCTTATGAAACAGATACCAAGGTCGAAGTAGC